AGGGCACAGTGTAAGACAGCAATAACCCTCATGTGTCAGGAACTAAATTTTATTTACTTCTGAACACCAGCAAAATTATTTTTGCAGTTGCAAAAGTTTTCAAGGGCATGTTGAAGACCTGGAGCCTTGGGACAGGCAGCCTGTGAGAGGCAAACGAGAAATAATTAACAGACCAAATGCGGCTCCACATTCCTTCAGGCAAACTCAAGAAAATAAGAGACTTACAGAAAAGCAAAATAGGAGCTAAATGTTTATTTTGATCAAGGAAGCTTTTCTTTAGGAAAACTTTCACTTACAGGATCCTTTTAAATAGTATGTTTCTCTTAGTGCACTGAAAATGATTCAATCTTCAAAAGCCTGAGTCACCTTCTTTTCCCAGAAACACACTTGTGTTTATTATACATCTATCTGTAATATCTGAATGTAGATCTTTTAAAAAGTTAAAAGAATCATCAGGGTGCGGTGGCTCACACCTGTAATCCAAGGACTTTGGGAGGCCAAAGTGGGCGGATTACCTGAGGTCAGGAGTTCAAGACCAGCCTCACCAATATGGTGAAACCCTGTCTCTACTAAAAATAGAAAAATTAGCCAGGCATGGTGGCAGGCACCTGTAATTCCATTTACTCGGGAGGCTGAGGCAGGAGAATCACTTGAACCCGGGAGGTGGAGGTTGCAGTGAGCTGAGATTGTGCCATTGCACTTCAGCCTGAGTGACAGAGCAAGACTGTCTCAAAAAAAAAAAAAAAAAAAAAGTAGAAAGAATCATAAATCTGTTGCTGAGGATTGTGGCAGCAAAGCAGTATAAGGAAAGGGTGGGGGAAGGAAAAACTAACCCAAAATTGTTAGTTTTTTTAAAGGACAATGAGAAAGAAATTTAGTATTTTTTTTCTCACTAAATCTGGAAGATTCCATATTTTGGGCAGGTTCCTAGTAACGGATGGGGAGTACTAAAATGCAGCAACCTGACTTATGTTACAATGCAGGTTAAAATGCTAGATTTGAAATAAGATCAACTATCCATTCTCAATGATTTATAAAACCTGAGTGACATTATAACCCAAACAGAGTAAAAACCATTCCAAGCAGGTTGGTGGCTTCTAACATCTTCATAAATCCAGTAACTTAAACATTACCTATGAGAACCATAAAAAGAGACTTTGAAGTCTTTTTCTTAATGTGCTAGGAATACACAGTAAATACACACTTAGAAAGTACTGTTTTTAACACAGGATTTATTTGTTGCATTATAAACTCGGCAGAACATGAAACCAAGTAGTGAATACATATTTTCTCCCCCCTTTAAATGAGAGGCTACTTTTTGTCTTCCAGTGGTCTTGGGGCCAGGTAGCTGGAAGGACTCAGCACTCTTAAGGTGGCGAGGGGTGCTTCGGTGATCTAAGCAGAAGAGGTGATGGGGCTGGTGGCCAGCTTAGGGACTCCCCTAGTTGGGGTCCAGGGTGTGCTCTTTGATCTGTACCACTGCTGGGGACTTTGGTAGCTCCGTGTTGTGCAAAGATACAAAATGTATGCCTCTGTGGGGCACAGTATGTAAGTGCTGAAGTTCTGTGCAGATTTAATTATTAGCATGAACTGAAGGTCCTGTCATTGTTTAACTCATCCGACCTTTTAAACGGATAACCAACCTTGAGGCTTAATTGGATTTTTAAAAAAATCAATTTCTAGCCATTGCATAGTGTTGAAATGAAGTGCTGCATTCTCAGGCAATTGTAAAATCAGTTTTGCTCAAGACTATTTTTTATTATTTACAACTTTAAAATGACATTATACATCTCGATAAGCATTTTATGTACACATATACCTTTCATAAGCAACCACAAACATAACATACACGTACATACACTGAATCACGTCATGAAAGAATCATTATTTTCTGTTGAGCAGCAGCTGATTCATCAGCAGCAATCTCTTCACACCAATTACACAAAAAACTGAGCTGGGGATAATGACATACCACTGTTTGCAAATCTCTCTCAGCCTCAGCCGGTCTCATCTTTGTAATAGGAAAAAAATCCTTGAGGAAGCTTTTGCCAAATCGCATCTTGACCATTAAATCTTTCTTGAGGAAGGTCATTTAATTTTATGGAAAGAAATGAAAAATTAAAATGGCAGAAGCAGAAATAGTCTTGGTCTGGAAATCAGAACACTGACAATTCTAGTTCTAGTCCTGTGGCCTTGGCAAGAGAAAAACTTGGCTCAGTTTCCCCATCTGGAAAAGGGGGATGTTGGGATGGGGGAGTTGTTCTCTTTCCCCCATAGTTGATGAAAATGGAGGTTTAGCATGGTGTCCTGGGTCAGAACACCAAGTTAAAAAAAATACAAAGAAAACATTTGATCCCCTCAACACTTCCTCTGAGAAAAAGAGACCAATGGTGCACAGAGAATCGTCTGCCTCCATTACAAGATCTATAAAATGAAAGCAATAGTGACTACTGAGGGCAGAATTTGGATGATTAGTTAACAGCAATTATAGAATTATCCTTGACAGCAAATGCTAAGCCCAGTGGTGTCTTTTAACTGAGCCTGATTTAAATGTGCATTGTGTCGAAGGGAGTATCATTTAAATGGTCCATTTTAGCCAGATTACGGAGCTGAAGTGGAGAACCACACAGTTACCCTGAGCATTCAGGACAGTCCAGAGAGCTAATCTGGACAACTGGACATGATTATTTTCTTTTGCCTCAATTGACCAGATAATTGTACACAAGTCTCTGCCATTTGACTCCATGGAATGTCCCTTGTGTCGTAAGAAAGCCTGGCCATAGACTGGTGTACCCTGATGTCTATCCAAGGGTGGCATGGATTTGGGGACAAGATGCACGCAACTGACACCTAAAATCTAACTCTGAATCCTAAATTGGAAGCACTTTCACATGTGCTAAGTCTCTGCTTGCACCCAGCACTCTCACGAGTTCCTTCTAATACCCATCACTTTGGAGGAGGTCATTTTCGAAACAGAATTAAACAAAACCATCAGGCAACAAGGTTAAGTGGCATCTGGGTGGTCAAGAAAATTTGAAAGTAAAATTAGATTTTTTTTTTTTTTTTTGCTTTAAGATGGCGTCTCGCTCTGTTGCCCAGGCTGGAGTGCAGTGGTGTGATCTTGGCTCACTGCAACCTCCACCTCGCAGGTTCAAGAAATTTTCCTGCCTCAGCCTCCCTGGTATCTGATATTACAGGTGTGTGCCACCACGCCCAGCTAATTCAGTATTTAGAGATTTTAGTAGAGATGGGGTTTTACTATGTTGGCCAGGCTGGTCTAGAACTCCTGACCTCTAGCAATTCACCTGCCTTCGCCTCCCCAAGTGCTAGGATTATAGGCATGAGCCACTTTGTCTGGCCAAGACAATTAGTTTTTCAGAGCTAATACACACCAAAATATACAATTGTAGGCATGCATGTATGTGCATACACAGTGGTACGTTCTGAAATGCAACTCACGTTGGATGAACCAGGTCTGCCTCCCTAAATCTTAGAAGAAATGGAAACTTACCATAACTAATCGATGAATTATAACCATGGGGAAGGAGGAAGTCTTTGTGATGAGCTGTCTTCCCTACACCCAACTAGGGACATTCCTTCTGTGAAAAGATCTCTCCACATGGCTTGACTAGAGTAAGGGATGCCTATGATCAAACTCATGGCTGTGTGTAGAATGACATGCTATCCCATTAGATTTAGATATAAATGATGCTAGGCTAGGTAGATTTTGATGTGGCTGCAGAACTATGGCAGATGGACCAGGAAGGATTCTAGATTGCTCAAACATCAGATCAGGATCAGATTTTTTACAGAATGGTCACTAAATTGCACAGAGGAAATCTATATCCAGCCTGTTCACCTACTGTCAAAGTGAGTGTTCAAAGGGACACCCCAATGGCCACCCACTTCCAGGCCTCCTGGCAAGTCACGCCTCCAAGTCACTGGTGGCATCTTGCAGCTCTCCACTGACGGCAATGCTTCTTTAGATTGTGTTGCATGCTCTTGTAGCACCGGTTCAAGACTGGGCAACCAAAGACTCAGCTGAGAACATAACCCAAGAGGTCACCAATCACACGGGTGTTGACACCTTTATGTGATCCCCTTCGGGATGGAGGATTCTTTAATGTTATTAAAATATCATTGCCATTGCCGGTCATAGTGTTCTTAAACCCCGATGGCAAATGTCTCTCCTTTGGGAATGGATTTGATTCTTCTTGGACAGAGCCCGTGGCCAACAAGCGACTTGGGGAAATGTAATTTCCAAACAAAAAACAAGGTGAGAGAACAAGAGGAGGCGGCTGTTTCTTTTGTGTGGTTTGTCAACAGGCTCTGAAGGGAAGTGCTGTGAGTCACTGTAGCACCTCAGGACCAAACGCCAAGCGTGCCAAGCAGACCTGGCAGGACAGCTGCTATCTTTTGTATGTATAGGTTCTGGTGATGAAACCACATAACCCTACTGTGACTCAGGTCCACATCTCCCACCAGCGTACGTATGCATGAAAGTCAAGCTTCAGGACAAAGGTCCTCCTTGGGGGACCCCAGGACAGGAACAATCAAGGGGAAACACAGTCTTGGCTTTGAGTTCCACTGGCAAACACTGTCCCTGAAGTTTTGGTGTAACAGAGTAGGAAACAGTCATTTAGAAAGTCAAGTCTCCTAGAGCCTGTGTGTAAGAATTACTTCTCAACAAAGCACACCACAGTTTTATTTTAAGATTTCCAAATGTTTTTTGGTATGTACGTAAAGCATATATTTTCATAAGAAAAATAATTATCTGCCTTTTAGGCAGTTTTCCATTTTGTATATTGGACAGGAAATAGATTGTCCCTTTGAAAGCATCCAATAGATAGATCAACTTTCAGACACCAAGGCAAAGGCCTCAGGCACAAAACAAAGAGTCAGGGGCCCAAAGGATCACAAAACTGGCTGGGCCCTCCCCTAACACAAACACACTGGAAGAAACATGAGCCCACTGTTAAGATTAATACAGGATTGCAGGGTGTTCTTTAATCTGCATGATTGCTTTATTGTACAAAAAGTTTCCAGTAACAGTAAATTGGTTTTTAAAAAGGACAAAAAAGGTCATTTTGGTAGAAGCACTTCACTAATTGCTTTATTTAAGCATACAAGAAAAAAAGTCTTATCTGACCAATTAAGGTGGAAGGGTTTTATTAACTTAAGCCATTAGCTAGGATAAAACACTGAAACCACTTGTGTCAAAACAAATAAATAATGTAAATAACGCTCTCTCAATTAGCAGAGGGTGAATCCGCTTCACATGCATGGCCCAGCCAGCACCCCCACCCCCACAAACGAACACAAGAGACAGCAGTTTTCAGTTACAATCCTGGGAAAGACCAGGAGCTTTGGAAAACTGATGGTAAACATGTCTGTTTCTCCTTCTACCTCCACTGAACCTGAGCCACCCCTGGACACTTTAAAGGAGGCATATGGGCTGGGCATGGTGGCTCTTACCTGTAATCCCAGCACTTTGGGAAGCCGAGGTGGGAGGATCATGAGGTCAGGAGATTGAGACCAACTTGGCCAACATGGTGAAACCCCATCTCTACTGAAATACAAAAAATTAGCCAGGTGGGGTGGCGCGCACCTGTAGTCCCTGCCACTCAGGAGGCTGAGGCAGGGGAATCACTTGAACCTGGGAGGCAGAGGTTGCAGTGAGCCGACATCACACCACTGCACTCCAGCCTGGTGACAGAACAAGACTCCATCTCAAAAAAAAAAGAAAAAAGAGAAGACATGTGTCCAGAGGCTGCACCCAGGGATGCCCAGAGGGAGCCTGCCCTGCTAGGCCTCTTCTCCAAGGGCACATCCCAGGCAGGGGAGACTGGCCTGGGTGATCGTTACCTCCACAGCTCAACAGAGTGCAGAGAAGAAGCATGAGGTGCCCACAGACAACAGCTGTCAGTGAGTGAAGGGAAAGAAACCCTGAGGTACCATGATTCTTCTCTCTTACTTCCTCAAATGCTGCTGATCTCTCCCCAAGTACAGGCTCAAAAGAAAAATACAGTGGTTTGAGGACCCCAAGAAGTCAGCACATAGGCCCGGGGTCAGCTAGCTCCAGGCTGGGTCTATCTCTCCCCCACCTTGGGAAAACAGTCACAGTACCAGTGCCCTGGCTTCAAGTGGAATGGGACAGTTCCCCAACCTGGAGGACATCCTTAAAACAATCTCTATTCAGGTCTGTTATTTTACCCAAATAGGTGCAGGGGACAAAAACCAACCTTCATCACCCTATTTGGTGAAAATAAATATAAACAAACGATGATCTTCTCCTACAGGGTCAGTTTACTTCAAGTGTTTCTAAGACTTAGCTCTTTAAAAAAGCTTGAACAGGAATCCGGTATTGCCACTGCAGACTGTTTTTGAGGCCAGTTCCCTAATTCAGACAGCCCCACTCCTAAGAGGAGCAGGTCTAACTTGGAACATCTCAACCATGGGTTAAAATGAGCTGAGATGAAAGAACACCTCCAATGACTTTCAAGAGCTATGGAAGCCTCAACATTTCAGGGGTGACTGATGAGGTGCTGGCTTCTTATTTTCCGGCCCTCTTTCCTAAACAATACTTGTCAGGGAAGACAGGGGTTGCTTCCTGAAATGCCAGGGACACCTCTAGGTCCTTACCATTCCACAGCTACATCAGTAATAAGAAAACCAGTGGCTGCCGGAGGTGGCGCCAACTTGGAAAGGGAAGGCTGGGGCAGGGGTTTGGATGTTAAGCCCATGAGCTGTTTGGACAGCTTCAATCTCTGGACTTGAGTTTAAATTTCTGGAAACAACTTCAAAGTCAACTCTAGAGAGACATTTTAAGTGACTGGTCCAAATAAAATGCAGTACATTGAATGAGGTCATACACTTCTTAAACTTTGTAAGAGAAGCAAAACAATGGAAAAGCCATTAAAAATTACACAAAGACCATTAAAACTCTACTGGTACCAATTAAAACAAGGCCAATAAAACATGAACTACTTCAAACCTCCCATCCCTTTTCACACTATTCTACAGTTGTAGGAATGTATTTCAGCACCATATTGATAACAGGTAGGAAAATGACGAAGTCTTACTTTGGCAATCTGACCCACACTCACACAAACAAGGAGCTTCCTAGTCAAGATGCCCACAGTCCTTGGCAATGTGCCTGCTTCCTAGGCATTGCTCAGTGGCAATGGAAGAGCCAATAAATCAAATCACTGGTGGAATATTTTACTTTGAAATGGAGTGATGTTTGGTTAATAATTTGAGATCCACTAATCCTAAATGGGGTGACCCATTTAAAATGGCCTCTGTGTAAATTCACAGTTCATTAAATAGAGTCTGGTTTGAACAGGTCATTATGTAGTTAGTATATAAGTAATGGATGGAGCAAGGAGGCTGGGGATACCCACGGGGACACACTGGCTGAGACTGGTGGCTTTCCTAACACTGTCAAGCTTTCTTTTAATGCGAGATTTATTCAAATCACCAACTGTATTTTAGGTGGTTTTGCTTAGTAACCCCTTTTGGTTTACAGTAGAAAATGCAGTGCAAAAATTTTAAATAAGGAATATTCCATTTACAATTAAACTTATGAAGCTGTTTTAACTGGCCCATCTAAATGTGTTAATTAACATCAATGATGGTTTCTTATTTTTCACACTTTGTTACTCTGATCATTAACAGTGATGGAAAAGCTAAATTAAGTTAATAGGGAACAGATTATAAATTCTTAAAGGACTTCTTAGTTGTTTTCAACTGGAAAATATATAGAGAAAGATGAAGAGGCATTTTTGCCTCTACTCATCAATTTTTGGTACCAAATTTCTTAAAAACCAGAATGGTTTAAAGAAAATTTTTCCAAAAATTATTTTAACATTCTGCTCAGACATGGCTGCTAAAAAAACAGCATATACACATATAATCCTGAACAGCTTCTGCAGTCCCTGTAAACTTTCAGCTCACTTTCTCTAAGAAAAATATATATGATAACTGATCACAGAACTCAATCTCTATTGTGCAGCAGTATCAAAGGTCCTTAAATTTTCAACAATGAAGGAAAAACAAAAGCCCATTCCCCGGACCACTTGAGCAGGACTAATGGAGGAGGAGTCTGTGGATGGAAAGGTTCTCTGCCCCGATGCCCTCGGATTCCTCGGGGCTGCACCTCTGACGGCAGCTGGCCCGCGCAGGCCAAGCCCCTCACACCGGGAGATGCATGCGTGTGGCACACACGAGAACCCAATGCCACTTATCGAGACTTCACGCCAACGAGGACAACAATGAGCACAATGATGATGACAAATAATATTAAAATCACAAGCATCTTCCGATTCTTCTTTTGATACTGTTCTGCCTACAAAAAGAGGAGGGGAAAAAAAAGGCAGTCATTTTCCCCAAAATCCCAAATCAGGTCCCACGCGTTTCCAGACTGAGGCTTCTGGATCTGTCTGCACAGTGACTAAGGTCTCTGCTACAGGCTACATGATCGTAATCCCTCCATCAATCCCAGGGAATTCTGTCATCAGAAGTGGAAGAGCCCCATGATCCTGGAGCTGCTTATTTGCCCTGGGCATGGAAATGGACTTGTTGGAAACCTACTACTAAGACAAAGGCTGACAGGGAAGTCAAAGCTCATGCTTCCGGATGCTGCTGGGCCTGCTTCTCCACGCTTCTCCTTGCTTCTCCTCCCGCAGGCCCTCAGTTCCTGGTCCCGGCTCCTTGAGCGAATGCGCAGCTCCTTCACCACGGAAGGAACAACCAGCTGGGGGAGCCTAAGAGGCAGGTAGGCAAAGATGTCCCCAAAGAGGCCCCATTTCGGCCTCCCTTAAATTTGGAAACAAGAACTCATCCTTTGAAATAAAAACAGACACGATACAGCAAAGGCACTCCCAAGTTCAACCTGGGGACAAGGCTGCACCCTGCTTATCTCTTCACCTGAACACCGCATCCTGGAAGCTCGGCGGGAGCGCGGGAACTCCACCATGCCTGGTACAGAAATGCCAAAGGGCCCCACCTGGCTTGTGAAAGACACACAGCACTGAGAAAGGAGAGCCAGAGGGCAGAAGAGTTCAGAGGGAGCCAGGAAGCATGTCCAGGGAGAACATGCGCTGCCCTCTTCCAGACCTTGCTATGGCACAGGAGGAAGGGCAGCGGGAAGGCAGCCATGGCGAGAATGGCAATTTCTTCTCCTCCATCCCCCTCGGTGGGCTTGTTTCTGAAGCGAGCCTGCCCACCCACCTGGAGGAGCCCCTCATCCACCAGGAGGAACGCCACTGGAGAGTCGGATCATGGGGAGCAGCTCCCAAAGCTCAATCACCCTCAGACAAACCGACTGCTGAGCACCGGCCAGCCGCGGTGCTGCCTACAGCCTTGTAGCTGGAGGGAAGACGGAGCAAGCTGACTTTTCTAATAAGTAACCCAGAACACCAGGGAAGCCAGTACTAAATAATATACTGTAAAACCTCTCAAAATGATTTATAAAGTAGAACCTAAAACAAAATTTTTAGTTCCCGCTAGATTTGCTCACTCCCGCAGAGAAAGCTTTTTCTTTTATCTATTACAAAACATGTTTCACTAGTTTTTATTTAAGAAACTTCAAAACCAATGCATAATTCAGCAGCACATCAAAACCTGGGTATTACAGAATGAGAAACTAAAGTTAGTTTTCACTTTTAATAGATAGGGCTTGGCAACCAAATTAATCTAAATGCTTAAGGAGCCCCTGCTTAGACGAGGTCAGACCTCTCTTCCCCACCACAGGCTGCAATCTCATATCCACCCAGCACATGGCAACAAGCACCCTGAAAAGACAGCTCAGGGTTTCGGCTTAGACAAGGGTAAGGGCTGACTTTTTGTACACCCAATGCTACTGTTAGATGGGGTGATCTCTGGTATAGGAAGCAACTGATTTTAGAAAAATGGTAGAGTAGTCCGATAGCGAATTGGCAAAACACTCATTATATGGCTAGAAATTCCACTGGGCCTCAAAGATACAAGAAAATGGACACTACTTGTGAAGTATTGTTATATTCCTTTTAAAGAAAATATGTAACAATTATATATGAGAGCCACTCAGCAGTTTATGCCATGTTTCTCATAACATTATAAGATTCTGAAGATGCTTTCCATCTATTTTTTTAAAAGAATAAATATCATAAAAAACACCCCTGAAATAGCTTATTAGCACAGAATAGAAGAACTACTACTCTCACTTCAAAAAACTTCTCTTTTCTCAAGGTAATCCACAGATATGCTGTGGTAATTAAAGAGAAAATTAGATTTTTATCTTCTCCAGAATGATTTTACACCAGCAATTCATCAGAAATGTGTCACAACAAGAGAGGCCTGAGTGGCAACAAGCAGATTCTCAACACATATTTTATTTAACAAATGCCCATTCAATTGATTTCCTAAACAAGAAGCCTCAGAAAAGGATGAAATATTTCTAAAAGGAAGAAAATTCCAATCCCCTTAGAATTTACTGTCATAAAAAGGATTTCTTAGCAATTCTGGATCCTGGAATCATTAACTGCAATAAAATGGCAACAGCCCCCACAATTGGCTTTAAATGAAATGAATCCCTTTTTACACTACCGTATTTAGAGTGGACAACACAAATAAGAATGCTGAAGATAGTTATGGTGGAAGAGAACCCTCTGACCGATTCCTGATTATTTGAAAATAGTTCCTAAAATTCCCAGTTCTTGAAAGACATGTCATTACCTTGTGAAGTTGTTTCAAGCCATCTTCCGTTTTGATACAGGACTGTTCAACGTTATAGTCAATTCTATCAAGGACTGTACCCTAGGTAATAAATGACAGTTATAGACGATCAACAATGGCAACTGGGAAAACTGGACATCAAAAATGAGATATACAAATTACACACATCATCATCCATAAGATGATGCTTTCCTTCCCTGTGTGCTGCAGGTACACATGGAGGGCTCTGGAGTCCCCCTCAAGCAGGGTCAGGAGCTCAATGGCAGAGTGCTGGTTAGTGCCATCACGTACAAACCCGGTACTGACAGACCGGGTTTCCTTTTTGGTTTTCGCTACCATACAATATGCCATATTCAGACTTACTTGGTCCTTAAACAACATATAGTTCAGTGGAAAGAGGCTCTGAACAGCAGAGAGGCTCTGTACCCATTTTGTGCCTACATACTTGGACTCATGTAAGTAAAGAACAGCAGCACAACCATTAGGAGCAGACCGCAAACTATCATGTCTATAAACGTGAATACACATCTCTATGGGTCAGAGCAGACAATGTACCATCTAAAATTAAAAATGTGGCCTCAAGGAAAAGATGTTTAATTGTTTAATCTCTTAATACAAAGCAAAAGAAGGGGACCCTGGGCTATAAGGAAGAACAGGGCTTTTATTGGAAACATGCTGGATTAGAAGAGATAGCAGTTCACTGAGAACTGCTGGAGTAATTAATGTAACGGGATCTTTCAGAGCCTGAACACTCCATTCTGCAGTTGGTTTCAGGGGGATCAGGACCCAAATCCCTGCTGGCAAGATAATAAAATGCCCTAATCAGATTTTAACAGTGAACAACAATTTAATTCTACTTGAAAGCTAGTGGTTTCAACTGCCATTACACAATAACCTGCCAAAAATTAGAAGGGAAATCTTACATATTGGCAGAATCATTGTTGAGCTTGGTCAGAGTCAACTAGGTCTCTAAAGTAGGGTGCTCACGTTAAGTACCCTGGAGGGATAGGAAGAGAAAATTAGAACTTCTAAAAAATATTTATTAATATTCTTATAGGGAATGCCAGTAGCCTATGTATATAATTTGTAAATACACACATATACAGGCTGAGTATCCCTTATCTGAAATGCTTATTCTGGATGGGACCCAAGTCTAAACATAAAATTCATTTATGTTTCTATATACCTTATATACATGGCTTGAAAGTAATTTTATACTATATATATATATATATATATATATATAGTTTTTTTGGGGCGGGGGGGACAGAGTTTCACTCTTGTTGCCCAGGCTGGAGTGCAATGGTGCAATCTCGGCTCACTGCAACCTCCACCTCCCAGGTTCAAGTGCTTCTCCTGCCTCAGCCTCACGATTAGCTGGGATTGCCGGCATGCACCACTGCACCCAGCTACTTTTTGCATTTTTAGTAGAGACGAAGTTTCATCAATGTTGGCCAAGCTGGTCTTGAACTGCTGACCTCAAGTGCTCTACCCACCTCAGCCTCCCAAAGTGGTGGAATTACAGGCGTGAGCCACTGCGCTCGGCCACAACGTTTTCAATAGTTTTGTGCATAAAACAAAGCTTTAACTGCAACCTGTCACATGAGGTCTTGTGTAGGTATTTTCTACTTGTGGCATCATGTCAGCACTCAAAAAGTTTCAGATTCTTGGGCCGGGTGGAGTGGCTCACGCCTGTAATTCCAGCACTTTGGGAGGCCGAGGAGGGTGGATCACGAGGTCAAGAGATCGAGACAATCCTGGTCAACATGGTGAAACCTCGTCTCTACTAGAAGTACACAAAATTAGCTGGGCATGGTGGCGCGTGCCTGTAATCCCAGCTACTCAGGAGGCTGAGGCAGGAGAATTGCCTGAACCCAGGAGGTGGAGGTTGCGGTGAGCCGAGATCGCGCCATTGTACTCCATTCTGGGTAACACGAGCGAAACTCCATCTCGAAAAAAAAAAAAATTTCAGATTCTGGAGCAGTTTGAATTTCATATTTTCTGATTAGGGATGCTAAGTATATATTTGTAAACATATGTATATGTGTATGTATATTCGTAAACACAAAAGGACAGGCGCGCACCTGCGCGCGCACACATACGTTGGAGGAAATGGCTCCAGTTTTTTTCCCTGAAAGGAGTACAGGAAAAAGAAGGACAGATAAGTATGGCAGGAAAGCCTATTCACAAGGAAGGCCAGCTCACGTACCTGTTCTACAATCATCGCTCCTAAGTCCCTAAATATTTCATTCAGGTCAGAAATGGACTGTACAATCTGGCGGATCTCTCGCTCCCTCTCTTCCACCATCAGTGTGTTCTGCTCCACCAGCACTAACTGGTCATCGGTAAAACCCTAGCAAAACAGTGTACAATTTGTTGGTTAGATTTTTTCCCCCCTCTCTCAGGAAAGATATGGTGTACTAGTCTAGATATAAATATAAGCTAAAGAAAATGAATATATAAGTTAAAGAAAATGAATTCTGAAAATATTTCTATAAAGCACATAAATAACAAGTAAACACTTATTTTTTCCTAACAGGAAAGATTCAAACTCCCTAAATCAGCAGGATCTAAAGCTCTGAGGCCACAGCAGGGAAGACAGAAGCCCACGTCTGCAGCTCTGCAAAACCCCAGGAACAAAACCCCCAAAACAGCCCTCTGCTGCTCTGCATTCTTCCTAAGAAGGCAGGGTGTTGACCACTTTCCCAAATGTTCTGGAAAGCAGATTACAAGGTCTCCTTCCCTGTGGCCTTTGGAAAGGAAGAAACAGTATGGCTGTTCTTCCACCTGCTGCAAAAACAACTTGATGAATATACAAGTCAGCTGTACCAATCCACTGACACTGCAGATAAGTTTGAGGTCTAGGAGGAGAAAGCAGCAGAATGGGGTGCACAGACCCAGCAGTCAGCTTTGCAGCCCCTTCACGTACCCGATGGTAAAGAGTATTATCGTCTCCATCATCCATTAGTGGTACTGACGTGTCAAAAAAATGCTGGGATCTCTCCTCTCGATTCTTCATACCTACCACAGATAGGAATTCATTTTACTTGAATATGTAAACCACCCTGGTTATTGTTCTACCATTAAAAAGGGGAATTCTAGAGTAAACTTCAACAGTCAAAATGGAGACATTCTTAGCCACTTTAAAGAAACCTATCTCCAGTGGGAGTAGAGGGAGAGTAAAGGGTTACAAACACACAATAATATGCAGGCATTTGGGATTATCCAAGACAAAGTCACAGTGTAAATGTGCACAATTCACTTGATGCCAAGACAAAAATAACACAACCATCTGAGACTCTCCAAGTGAAACAGAAAGATTTAATCTAACTGCTGTTACAAAACATTTTAAAAAATCAATATTTCTCTCTAGAAGCATCTCTAGTAGGAATTCCAAATGGCCCTAATCAAATTTTGGAAGTAATAAAATTAAAATACAAATCTGCCAGTTGTCAGAGGGAGGGAGAACTGAAGTTTTTTTTTTTTTTTTGGAGACTGTGGGGACTTTATTGATTATAATGGCCATTTTTAAAACCCAGCTTACAGGGTGATTTGAATGAGAAGATAGCTGAAATCGGGCTTGGGGCTATTTGTCAAGTGAAACCGGTGGTGCCAGCAGAGGAAGTGTTTCGAGGACCCTGGGGAGGGACTCTCAGGTGCTCTCAAACACTTTGGTTGTTATGCAAACATGTGGCTTTCCCTAATAACAACTGCCTTTACCTATTGAGTAGCAGCTCTCCCAAACCCGAACATCTAGAAAACAACAGGTTTTTCAAATGTGCTTGATTGATTTTCAAATTCTTGCAGCTTCAATAAAACAAATTTTGTTTGCTGAGATGCTGAACTATCTGGGTGCCCTCCCCCAGCCTGCATCGGTACTCCACGCTGTGCCTTCTTTCCAAGCCAGGATTTCACGTGAGGAGGAGGCATCCCTTTATTGTGTAAGGTATGAACCTGCTCAAAAGCTAACAATGAAAGGTATTGGACTATGTGGAAAAATAGTCGCAAAAAAGAAAACAGAAAGTGCTTTTCTTACTCAAAATCCCTTCACTAGGCCCGGGCAGCACTCACGTTTGAGGTAGCCTGACTGTGCGTGCCGGAAGCTGATGGAGAGTTCCTGCAGGGCCTGCGCCAGCGAGGCCACCACGTTCCCAAGCAGCCGCCCCTCCTGCTCGGAGCAGGCCCGGGCCCGGCTCGGCAGGGCCTGCACAGCACGCTGGCACCTGTGGAAGAGCTAAGAGAACAAGCCCGAGGCTCAGGGCAAGCCTGCGAGAGAAGCCCCTCTGCTAACACTGCCATCATCACAAGCCAGAGTGAGAAGTAAGCGACTCTGTTCACTCAGGTTGGTTTAGAGAAGGGTGAACAGATAATAGGAATCTGAGGCTTAATTTATACACACAGAAAGATTTCACTGGATTTTAACTCCTGCTGTGTAGGGCCTGCTGTGTGCCCGGCTGTGCACATATCATTACATTAGATGGGCTGAGTACCCCTCATCCGAAATGCTTGGGATCGGCAATGTTCAGGATTTCAAATTTTGGGAGATTTTGGAATATTTGCAGAATACCTACTAGCTGAGCACCCCAATCAGAAAATTCGAAATCCAAAATGCTCCAATGAGCATTTCCTTTGAGTGTCATATTGGCACTCTTTCAAATTTTGGAGCATTTTGGATTTCAGGTTTTCAGATTAGAAATCTTCAACCTGTATTATCATATATCATATTATTATTATTGCATTCTTCTCATTTAATCCCTAACAAGCATCTTATGAGGATGGTACTACATTAGTCCCATTTTACAGAAGAGAACACTAGAGTCAGAAGCCTTAAATGAGAATCATGCAACTGTTAAAACGGCTGAGAGCCAAGGTTCAAACATCCCAACACTCCAGGGTTTTCCCCAAAGCACCATACTCCTCTGATAATTAGCACCCAGGAGATTTAAATAACACTGAAGTTTAAACACAAGTCCTATTATTTTAAAATTAGTCAAATTTAATATTTTATAAAAAATTTTTCTAGGTTACTTTTCAATTATAAGGACTATATTTTAGCATTAAAATTTCTTAACACTAGTATACAATATTATTCATTTTAAAATCAAATGACTGAACTCAATCATGTCTGAAATTTCATCTTAATCAATCCACAGTAGTATCTGCCAACAATTGAAAACCAGCCCCCACACCTCCCAGGCCTCACAGGTACCTCTGCTGAGAGCTGGAGGATATCAGGGCCTCCTGAGGTCCCTCTGAGAAGTTAAGGTTGGGAGGTGGACTCCAGGAGACTGATTTTGATTTGCACCCTAGTGTTTGAGATTGCCATGAGGCAGCCTGCTGGTTTCCCCAGGACTCACACACCCTCACCTGAGTGATCTCCTGGGTAGTTATCTCGATGGCGTGTTCCTCCTCACTGCTGTCATCCAGGGTGGGTCTGTTTAAATGCTTGTCATGAAGGCTGGATAATTCTTTCATCTTCTGCTTAATCCGGCCAACATCATACTGAATCTAAGCAAATGAAGTCACAGAACTCCACTGATGCCAGGCAGGCTATCGGTCTGCCTCTGAGACAACCAGCTACACTCAGCACATAGAGTTCAGTCTTCAGCAAACTTGTTGGCTTGCTGATGTGTGAGCAGCTTTTAATTCAAATTACCAGAAAATCACATAGCACTCTTCCTTGTTGCATGGGTTTTCAATTTCTTCCTATAATTCAGGTAGTTATTACCAATGTTAAAACTAAAGCAAAAATTATGAACTCGCACATAGACAAGTTAACCTAAAGCTAAAGTACTTCCAGGGATAAACATTCAAGTGTAGCCAAATTCATTTATATGACAGACATCTTAAAATACGTTGTCACAATCACTTAAAAAACAGGATGGTATGAAACTATCATGCAACTTACTTCATCCACTCCATCCACCCATTTAGGAGGTGACCGTTTTGTCACACCAATTGTTGCTTCTGGATCTAAGCTGATGCCTGACACCAGTGCCATACGGTCATCAGCAAGCTATAAGAAAGTAAAGGGACAGGAAAAAAAATTATTCCAATCCAATTTAGATACAAATACTCTTAAACCCTCTTAAATGTTGCTCCCTGAAGATACAGAAAGGAGTGAATGCACTTGCCTGTATTATAAACTTGCTTTTGATAACTGCTACGATTTGGAATTGTTTTCCTATCTTTTCATGCACCAGCTCTTAATTTCCTTGGACATACTTGAGAACATGAATTTGACTTGATCTGGCTATAGAAATGTAATGAAAAATCAACAAAAGGTCCTTAAAATAAAGACCTCTTAGAACTAGTACTGTGATAGAATATCATGAACCTCAATGATTAATCTGATCAGTTACAAGTGAAAAAAGAAAACTAGGCGGTAAATGAAACGACTACAAAATGCTCAATAGTAGGAAGGTTTACTTAAATATGCTTATTTTGGGAATAGTGCTGATCCAGTTATCTCAGTCACACGATCATTAAGCATGTGTTAAAATGTGTGAAACAACTGCTTTTATGGCTAGCAAATTATCTACTGTTTGACAAAAGCAATCCTTAAAATCTCAATGCAATCTTAGACTGTCATTTCTTTTCTTCAGTTAAATATCCACAGGCAACATTTCCCCTTATTTTGAAATGATACTGATGGTTCTTGTTTAACTATATAAGACACTGCTGTAGAAAGCTTCTAAGAATGGGAGGGAAATCAGCCTGGCATGGTGTAATCCCAGCACTTTGGGAGAATGAGGCGGGCAGATCACCTGAGGTCAGGAGTTTGAGACCAGCCTGGCCAATATGGTGAAACCCCGTCTCTACTAAAAACACAAAAATTAGCTGGACGTGGTGGCTCACACCTGTAATCCCAGCTATTCAGGAGGCTGAGGCAGGAGAATCGCTTGAACCCAGGAGGCAGAGATTGCAGTGAGCTGAGATCATGTCCCTGGGTGACAAGAGCAAAACTCCGTCTCAAATTAAAAAAAAAAAAGAATGCAAGGGAAATCATGGATTTGGCATAGTTAAGCTGTTTTCTTGCCTGCAGGCAGTGAATGGGTTGAAAAGCTCCAGAGCTCAGAATTTTTAAATGCCAGTTTCTAGAGATCCAAATGATGATCAAAAATATAATGGAAAATAGTCTACAAAAGTCCTTTACAGATAATACTTTGGAAATCTTCTAAATCACGCTGTAGAGTTGGTGAAAATTTTTTATTGTTCTTCCCTCTTCCTTGCATTTATCTAAATTTATTTTTTCAGTCACTCAGTAAATACTTATTTGCTTTTCTAACAATAAAGGAACAAGACAAAAATTTTAAAATCTACAGATGAAAAGGGGAAAATATAAAGAAAAACTTCAAGTAATAGGCCCTAAATCCTAAAGTGTTCACAGTAAAACTCTTAAAAGCAAATTAGTATCTTCACCATCAACCTCCCTGTACACACACCCTGGGGTGGTTCTGCCACCATCTGCTTCAGGCTATCTGTGTACTCTGGGCACGTGTCCACTCAGGGAGCGCATCCTGTGCAGTGACCATGCTGGAGGAACCAAGCCCCATTAACTGCTCCCAGCACATCCAAGAGCCGTGATTAAGCCCACGGTGCTCAAACGAGGCACGGATGCTGCAGGCCCAGTGTCATTTCAGTTCTTAAACAAATGGTGTATCATCCAAACCCACACTGTCTGGGGCTCCCAGGCTATGAAGTGGTCATTCTTAACCACCACCACCTTTTGTTTGGTTTTAAAAGTCCACTAATAGGAATTTCATAGTCTTTACATTATTTTAATCCTCACAAAAACTAAGTGAGGTAGGAACTTTTTTTTTTTTTTTTTTTGAGACGGAGTTTCGCTCTTGGTACCTAGGCTGGAGTGCAATGGCGCAATCTCAGCTCACCGCAACCTCCGCCTCCTGGGTTCAAGCAATTCTCCTGCCTCAGCCTCCCAAGTAGCTGGGACTACAGGCGCGTGCCACCATGCCCAGCTAATTTTTGTATTTTTAGTAGAGACGGGGTTTCACCATGTTGACCAGGATGGTCTTGATCTCTTGACCTTGTGATCCACCCGTCTCGGCCTCCCAAAGTGCTGGGATTACGGGCGAGAGCCACCGCGCCCGGCCGGAACTATTATTTTAACCTATAAATGTGGAAATTGAAACCGAGAAAAGTCACTTGCCCAAGGTCACAGAGCTCTTATGTGACAGACTGAAACCTGGGTCAGCTGACTCCAGAAACCCCTTTTGCCTTAGAAGATGCCAGTCACTCCGGAGGCCCATGAACTATCACTGCCATTTGCTAAGAAAATGAATCAAGACAAGCCATCCAATTAAAACAACAACATAGAGTAGTTTGATTCATTGCCCACTAACGGTACCAGGGACTACAGGACAGGCTCGCAGTGAGTAAAGATCTTCCTCTCTTGCTGACCATCTGTGGACAAAGAGGAGGCCTACATCCAGCGATCAGAGGCAGACTTGCTTATTCAACAGTCCTGCTCCCAAGTCACCAACAGGTACACAACTCTTTGGAAGACACACTGACTAAAACACAGAGGCCCAGTTCCCAGCGCCCATACATCAGGTGCTGTCTACAGAATTACTGATGGACTGGAACAGAACTTGAACTCCAGCTATTTATACAAAGTAAAATCTAAAATTGCTAAGTACCTCTTTGTGGGTCCTAGAATTCCCCCAAGCCAGTTTATTATCGAATCCACTATATTTTGTTATCATCCCACATTTCAATACGGTAATTATTTATAGTGATTTTATAGCTTTTAAACTCACGATCTTATTTTGTACTGCTTTTACTGTTTACAAATAAACATTAAACTAAAGAAGATAGAGAGATGGTATCTATCTAAAGTGACTTGCATTGGAATTAGTATTATTTTATCTGAAACAACAAATTATAAACCACATATGAAAAGTTGGTTGTGAATACATTCTTTGAAGCAGTACTTGATTTTGTGTCATGTGTTCCCCCCAAATTAGATGTAAATCAAAAGTGGGGAGAACACACTCTTTGTTAAGGGTCCTAAGGAAGCTTTCTAATTAAGAGATCCCTACACGAAGGGCACGGATGCCAGCCGGCTCAGCTGGGGTACTAGTACTCCACACACTGTATCAGGATTTAGCCAGTAAGAAAGAACAGTTAATTCTTTGGGAATGAAATCTTTAAATAGTGAATAAGTTGTGTCCTTTATGATACAGTCTATAGCTATAGTTACGTATATGTATAACATCATGATAAAGAAACACCACCCCACTGAGAAGAAATGTTTCATTCCTTTCATCAGTATGGATCTGTAATGTGTATCACACTATGTACTATTAAAAAAGATGACAGTATGTTTTGGGAAGGGAAAACAAATGTTGAAGATAAGGGTCAACTATTTGAAATGGGAACAAATATGGACATAAAAAAAATTTTAAGTGCAAAATAAGTACGCTTTTAACTTCAGAAACATCACTTCCCATTTAAAAACATGTCTTATTTGTTGAAGATCCAACGAACATATCAATTTTCAAGTTGCCATCCTATTCCATTCAGATCTTTAAAAACGGCCAGATTTCTAATTCTCTCTACTTCTGCTTGGTGAATTTCAACATGGTGCCCCTCCAAAAACATGATGTTGGTTACTAAAGATTCTTTAAAAATAATTTTGTGGCCAGGCACGGTGGCTCATGTCTGTAATCCCAGCACTTTGGGAGGTCGAGGTGGGGAAGGGTATATCACTTGAGGTTGGGAGTTTGAGACCGGCCTGACCAACATGGAGAAACCCCGTCTCTATGAAAAATACAAAAAATTAGCCGGGTGTGGTGGCAGGCACCTGTAATCCTAGCTACTTGAGGGGCCAAGGCAGAATTGCTTGAACCTGGGAGGCAGACGTTGTGGTGAGCCAAGATTGCACCATTGCACTCCAGCCTGGGCAACAAGAATGAAATTCCATCTCAAACAAATAAAAAATAAATAAATTTGTGCTTCTAAAATAAAAAATCCTTCCATATTTTTAAAATTAAAATTGTACTTAAGAGAATTAAGATTTCTTGTCTCTTTGGTATGTAGTTCCTCTCTCCAAGAACTACTAGGGTCCACTAGCCTAACCTAGAGTCATCCTTCCTGAGAGAAATGCAAAAAAATTTCAGCAGATGATCAAAACAGCATAGCCCAATTGCTCTCCTGCCAGTCTCACTAAAGGGATCTTTTGCTCTTGATCCACTTTAGATATTGACATTTGTCCCTTTAAAGAGTACCAGCCAGTATGAACAAGTTCTCGATCTATGGAAGGAACATACACACACTCTCTTATAAATCTAGCTGTTCCAATTCTATGGCCCTTCTACTGTTAAAAACCCTGCCTTTCCCCGAAGGCTGATTTAGTGTAGCCTAAGATTACAGAACTAGGAAAGGCTCTGTGGAGACTGAAAAAGTCAGATACACCCCCTGCCCATCTAAAAAAAAATCAACTAAGCTTAGCCATAACACATTGGTATTGAGAACAATACTGATAATTCTGTACTATCTACGGCACTGAACATTTAAAAAGTCCAGAAGGGACACTGAAAAATCAATGGACTGGCAACTCATACTTCCAGGTAAAACTCTGGGAGCATGTATGATAAAGTCAGAGCACTTCGCTAATAAGACAATTAGGCTTAGGAAATCTCAGTTGCTGGAGAAAGGAACAAGCATGTGGATAAAAGAAAAAAGTGATGTCAGCACTACATTTTTCTAAACCTGTGTTAATTTTAAAATAATACTTTTTCTGATTATGAAATTAATAAATGGTCAAAATAAACACTTTAAAAATGGTATAGGATGGGCGTGGTGGCTCACACCTGTAATCCTAGCAATTTGGGAGGCAACAGCGGGCAGATCACCTGAGCAACATAGCAAAACCCCCCTCTACTAAAAAAATACAAAATACAATTAGCCAGGCGTGGTGGCACACACCTGTAGTCCCCGCTACTTGGGAGGCTGAGGCAGGAGAATTGCTTGAACCCAGCAGGTGGAGGTTGCAGTAAGCTGAGATCACACCACTGCATTCTAGCCTGGGCAAGAGAGCAAGATTGTCTCAAAATAAATAAATAAATAAAAATAAACAAAGAAAATGGTACAAAAAATATAGAGATAAAACACTTGAGAATCACATCACTCTGATACTGTTGTCAGCGTGGATTTTCCTTTTTTCTCAAGTAACATACACTTTTGGGCCTTCTCTGAGCACTGTACTGAGCACTGCTACTGGCCTGGCCCAGGCCGGTCCCAATAACAATCCTTCAGAGGGGTGCCACTCCCTCCTTTACCAACATAGACATTGGGGCCCGGCCCAGCCTCTCCCAGATGGGCAACAATCATCCGTCCTCAGGAAGTGTGGTTTGGGGGCTTAACATTTATATCTTGTGATTTTAAAAATAATTCTTATCTCGAATTTAAAAACTCCCAAACGTGAGGGATTTCTTTGTCATAAGATGGAAGCAGACTGAAGACAGAGAGCAAAGGAGAGGGCCAGACACTTCCCTGGGTAAAAGAACCAAGGGTGGGCTCGGCTGTCTCCTCAGGGAACAGCTTACTTAGTGTTCCCTCAGAAGGAAAAGTGACATCTCCAGGGTACTTAGGCTGGAGGAGGAGAATGACAATCAAATATGAACAGACTGCAAGAAGACTCCGAGCGAGTGGGGGCGTCAGATGCCTTTACTCTGGGAGGCACCAGTGATACCCACTCAGGGACATTTGCTCAAGCCTCACCTATAAAGCGGTGGCTACCATCTAATCCACTCTGGAGCTGGGTGTTTACTATGTCCAGGAGACGCCAATGCAAAGGCATGCTTCAGATTCAAAGAAGCCTCTAGACACTGTCCCCAACCACACCCCCAACTCCTAGGCCAGTACCTGACACTGCAGAGTCCTGAACGCACAATCACAACCAGCTGAGTAAGCTGACAAGAAACGAGTGGAATGAATGAACGAGGTAAATAAAATGTACGTCACAGACAATTCTGGAAGCCACACTTCATGAAAAAGATAATGGTGCTGGACAAAAGAGCAAAAGCGGCTAGTGAAACGCACAAGGAAATGAGGAGGCCATGGGCACCCATGCTGAGGCAGCAGCCTGCATTTCTGACAGCACTGGGGTGCGTGTGGGGGAGACAGTGCTCTCTGCGCAGGGCCTCTGATCATAGAGCCTAAAGACTCCCTTTTAAGCCCTCAGAGGTGAAGCATAAGAAAATCAAGAGGACCTGCCAAGTTCATGCAGTGAGTAGCCAGTTTCTGGAACTTGCTGCCTGAAAAAGGAAGTAGAAAAGACTGGAAATTGGTTCAGACAGCAGACCCGAAGTAATTATGACCACTTATGTGCCCCTCCTTGGAACATTATTCAAATGCTTCTTCAGCCTAAGTGGTTCCATAATTTGTTACCCTCCCCCGCACCCTATACACTTCTTTTGAGGTCATAAGCTCCATATCTTCAAACTGTTCAGCCAGGAGCAACATTTGTTTTAATACAGAATGCCTGTTCTCCAAGCCCCCAAGCCTTAACATTTTTAAAGACTGGTCAGCAAATCCATCCACTTCCACTGTACTCCAGAGATTCCTACCTTCATGTGTGTGAGCTGGGCCCTCTCCAGGGCCCAGTGCCCAGATGGTATGCTGGCAGTGAGGTTCCTGAATGGGACAGGAAACCCCCACGCAGGCATGATCATGACACCTGGCTCAGTCAGCTACCAGCTAAGTGGTTGTTTTTATTTAAACTAATTGTTTTTAGTGGCAAAGTAGACATGCACATGTTTAAAAATATATATCCACCCTAAGAAAAGGGTTTGCAATAGAAAGGAAGTTTCTCTTCTATCCCAGATGTTTCTTGGAGTATATCCACTGTTAATGGTTTCTTATGTGTCTTTTCAGGAATTTTTTAAGCACACGCAAGCATAAATATGAGTTATTATTCCTGGAAAAAAAACAAAAAGGAACAGGAATCACATTATCCATGCTACTCTGCATCTGGGTCTTTCTACTCCGCCACGTGTCTGGGGCTCATTTCACTGCAGCCCTCATAGTGAACCTCACTATGTACCTGTTACAGAGGATCAGAGATACCACACAATTTATTTAACCAGTTCCCAATGAAGGATACGTAGGCTGTGCTCACTTTGTTGTTATTATCAAGAAGTTGTTTTTTTTTTTTTTTTGAGACAGAGTCTCACTCTGTTTCCCAGGCTGGAAGGCAGTGGCTCAATCTCGGCTCACTGCAACCTCCACCTCCTGGCTGTCAAGCAGTTCTCCTGCCTCAGCCTCCCAAGTAGCTGGGACTACAGGCACACGCCACCACGCCCAGCTAATTTTTTAATGTATTTTTTTAGTAGAGACAGGGTTTTGCCATATTGGCCAGGCTGGTCTCGAACTCCTGACCTTCTGATCCACCCACCTCAGCCTCCCAAAGTGCTGAGATTAGAGGCGTGAGCCACCATGCCCGGCCAGTAGTTAAGGTTTTTAGAATTTATAGGTAGATCTCAATCTACTAGTTAGGACCCCACTGGTTTTAAAAACAGTGATCCTAATCCTACTTTACTCTTCTCACTTATAAATTAAACAAGAACAACCCTCACCTCTCCATTACTCTATTTAAAAGGTCTATCCTCAGGAAAAACATTCTTACCCTTTCAATGCTGAAACAGACACAGACACAAACATTAACAACAGTTTAATCTTATTTTTTCTCAACCCTTTTACTAGGGCTACTAAAAGAAAGTGCTTTGAATATATACTCTCTCCACCGTCTGGGCAAGATGCTACTAGCTAATAAAAAGGCCAAAGGCTCCCCCAGCTAGGAGATGCAGAACTGGGCCCAGGTGACAATAGCTCCAGGTGCATCCACAGGGTGTCATTTCATTCCAGACAGGAGTGACCAGGTAGACCCTCCCACAGTTGCCATGGCTACAGTCCTTCTCATTTAGGGCCTTCACAGACACCCTGACCTTCTATACTGTCTACACGAGCAAGTGCACGACTCATCTCTCAGAAATCAGGAAGCTACAGACATAATTCCCAAAACATTCTGGCTTCTTGAAAAACGTGTTTAACCTTTACTGCTTCTAATGTTGAGACACTTTCCCAAGAGTAGTAAACAATGTTCCCAAAGCCTTTTCCAAATCATCAGTTCACATGATGTGAAAATATATTAAATTCTAAATATTAAACTGTTAAAAACAATCAAAGTAATGAAAACAAATGCTAAAGTATTTATAAGCTCTTAGCATTTTATATATGAGCAAAGACTTCAGGAAAAGCAGGTATTTTATAAACTCAAATTACTCAACATATAAAAATATTCAAAACACAATACCTCGTCCAGCTCCTGAAGAGACATGTTGTTCCCATCAGTCCCATCCAGTTAGGGAAAGCAAAAAGAAAGCAGCATGGGACAGACAGACAGACAAGGCATGGTCAGTTGAGAAAACACTGAGATTTTAAGCCGACTAAATAAAACGATCCACTAAGCAAGGCATTTTAAAAAAAACTCCTTTTGATCTTCCTTTTTAAAAATAAGCTTAAAAATCAATATATGCTTTTATTTTTATTTACTGTGGTTGTTTTGAAAATGAGCTAGGATTTAAACAAGCAAAAAAATGGTTGTAAATATTAAAATACACTGGAAACATATAAAACAAACCTGCTTTAGTTTCACTAAAATATGCTGTTAATGTGTTTCATAAAGACCAAATATCATATACAATACCACATTTTAAATTTCTCTTAGGAAAATAAGAGAGCAGAGCTACAATGTAATTTTATCATATCAAATAAATGTACATTTTAACATGTAAATCAGACCTGCAAATGCAACAAAATTTAAAAAATGAACGAACCACAAACATTGTCTGAGCTGTATTCAGATAACATGTGAGTGACCACATATGAAAAGCCTCTGCAAATGACATCCTGCAGACACGGCTCCATCCCCGATGATAAGAGAGCTGAGAAACCACTCTTTCCCAGAGAGAGACACAGGTGGCAAAATAAAAGAAAAACTCTTACCATTTATTGGTATGTATTATTATTAGCTAGAAAGCACAGTTACGTGCAAAGCTCTTATAAAAGCAAGCAAACAAGACAAAACAAAAGGTAAGAATAATTTTTTTTCTTTTAAGGGGAGTGGGAAGGGAGAAGCATGACACCAGAGGGTTAAGTTTCAATTTAAAACTAAAGATTCTTTTTCAGATCAACATGGAACTCTATCTTCCGGACAGACATTTACTAATGACAGATAATCTAAACAACTAGGCTTTTTTGGTACAGTATTGATCACTGAAATAATTAGTGGTGAAATTCAACAATCAACTGTGTTTTTTCATGGTTAGCAGTAAATTTAGAAAATGAAAAAATAGCTTTCTTATTTAAAAATTAATAGTGTAAATGAAGCTGCTCTAGCAGGGTCAAAATATCATTAAACAATGACAGCAATAAAAATGTAATCAAACTTTACTCCATGTAAAAATTCAATTAGATGATGTTATAGAAAGCTGAAAATCCTCTTCATTTTTTCCATAATTTGCTATGAGAGCAAAAAAGAACTCTATCTATATACACACCCTGCCATAATAGTACTAGATGATATTAATAAAGACAGTATCAAATGGAAATCTGATTTAATTACCTTTTACTTTACAAAGAGATTTTTTTTTTTTATTTTTTAAAAGCTTAACACTAAGAGAACATTGAAATCTCTTATTAATAAAACATGTTGCACAAAAAACCCCTAAATTGAGTATCTCAGGCTCCTTCCTATTCTGCAGCAGCTCCTGGGCATTTAATCTGTGAGCAATGTACTATTAAGCCTCAGTTAAAATCTCTGCGGCACATGTGCCTATGCTCTTGGATTATTAACCGAGCACACACACCCTGATCTTCTTATTTCTACAATTATTAGTTGATGAGAGGTGAAATCAGAATCATGGGATTCTAGGGCTAGAAATAAATCTTTTCTTACAAATAAGAAAACTAAGCTTCACAATGTAGAAGAACTGCATTGCTGGAAGGCACAGAGCTTGTTAATGGTCAGAATGGGGGCAGACCCAGGTGGTTCAGGCCTCTTTCCACCCCACCTTCCAGCCTCTCTAATTTTATTAACAATTCGGGGAATTACTTGTGATAGACAGCTACCACCACATCAGGAATATTAAATTCAGGTCACCTTTTCAAAGACCCTCCCCACCACTCTGCTACTTAAAAATAGAAGGCTTTCAAAACTCTGCCTGCCACCAAATTACCAGGAAATTTAGTCAAGATCTGAATTAATTAAAACATTTAGAATTACCATCAGGAAAGACCAAAATATAGCCAAATGAAAACACGTTACTCCACATCATCACCTTCTAAATCTTCATAATGTCTAAATCTAGGTTTCTGACCTGCCAATGGCATGCAATCAAGCAAATACTGAAAACTCCAAGCAGCATGTGGAATTTATAGTCTAAAGAACTTTCTACATAAAACTGAAAAATAAGTGGAAACTCATCTGTGTTTACTCAGGAAGTCTGGAAAAGTTGAGCAAAATGAGTTGGAAACACAGGTCTATGCTATAGTGATATTTACTTTATTTCCGTTACTGCCAAAATAAAAGTTTGCTTCACTTTTATCCAACAAAGTACCCTTATTCTCAAAGTAAGCCTCACTGCTCCCATGGAATCTTTAAACGCAGAAAAGCAAGTAGATCTAAAGAGAAATATACAATGATTTCATACTTGGATTCTAAAGACAGAACTAATTTTCCAACAGACTCAGCTTGGACTAAAACTTAGAGCCTTCAATCTGCAAGTTAAAACTGACTATGTAAGGTTGTAAAGTGAGATAAAGAAAGATTAGCCTACTGCAAGAAAAAAAAATTGTTTTAAAATAATAGGTCCTTCCATTTTCCAGGATCTGCAGCAGAAGTTCTGAAAATGCAGCCAACACCAGAATGGCCCAGGAGGTGAGCACGGGGCTCTGAAGCCAGGTTTGCCAGAGTTCCAGTCACAGCCCCCAACCCATCAGGTGGGTAACCCTGGGCCAGTTTCCTACCTCCTCTAATATGTTTTCTTATCTTTCTCTGAGAAAAGCAATAGTACTTATTTGATAGAGCACTGTGAAGCTGAGCTGAGCTTACACATGGAAAGGGGTTAGCCCAGAGCCAGGCACATAGTAAATTCTCCATAAATCTTAGGTAATATTGTAGCCTGAATAGGGACTTCAGGTTTCCTATAACCATAGTTAATCCTTAATTTTTTTTTCCTAAAGCACACATTTTATTAAAAATAATGTGCTTAAGTTTCAAACTAATCTAAGACCAATTAACTCTAGCTTCCAATTATAGAAATCTAAGACCAATTAACTCTAGCTTCCAATTATGGATTATGCATTATTTTAAAGCAGAGTATAGATTAGGCAGTAAACACTAACAAAGTAGGCTCCAGCCCCCATATCAGATCCATTCCAGGCGATCGAAGGAAACTACACAAATCCACAGAATTTCATCACATCAGAGGAGCATCTTAACATCTATCTTTCATTCATTTCTGACAATTTTTTTTGAATGATTGTTTAGCTTCATAAATCCATTTCAGTTTCCTAAAGCTAGCTGCTTGAATGAGCTGCTACCTTAAAACCTGCCCTTGGCTGGTATAATAATGTGAAAGTTACTTTTGCACCTTACTGGGGCTACTTCTAAGGAGTTTTGTCAGAAACCTTGGACTGACAGCCATAACACTGTTGACTATGAATTTCTCCTTTTCAAATTAAAGGAAAGTCAGGAGAAACAATGTATTAAAACAAGCTGAGAAAATACCGACGAATTGATGATAGGGCACTAGAAATGATCTAACTCAAACCCCTCAATTTACAAATGAGGCAAAAGATGTCCAAAAAGATGAAAACCTTGCCTAAGGACACATTCTGAGCCTGCAGCAGAACAGGACTTAGGCCTCAATTCTCAGATTCAATTCTCAGTGCTCTTTCCTTTATTTCATGCTGCCCTGAGGCATGAACGTGACGGGGCACTCAAAACCGAGGCCAGAGCAAAATGCATGAGAAATACAACAGCATTTTGTTAGGAGTGTATAAAGTCAAACCCCAGTCTGTTTTTAACAATTAGTTTGACTAACATTAACACCACTAAGAACACAAAAAAGTAGAATTTTGTTCAGTTCTGGATGCTGAACTTTAAAAAGGATACAGAAAAACTAAACATCATTTATAGGAAAGAAGCTGAACCACTCTGAGCTGGGACTGCTAAGCCTGGAAAGAACGCTGGGTAACAAGGCTGTGGGATTACCAGACAGAAGGAAGACCCTAGGGGACAGAACTGAAAGCAGGACCCCAGGACACAAATAGTTGGGATTAACAGGCAGAGTTTTTGGTGGTAAAAATCATGGAGCTGTTGGCATTTCCCATCATTGTCATAGAATGGGGCCAAAGACAGGCATAAGGGGTTATCAAAAATGGAGACGCTGGGCCAAATGGCCTTTAGGTCCCTTCTGGCCCATGAGACGTTGTGTTTATCTGGTCACTGTGTTATTCCTCCTTAAATTCCTGTTTATTTGACATATTTCCCTGAATGCTGCAAAACCCTATATGCATGCATAGGTTCCACCACAACAATCAACATCTGTTCTCTCAAACTAGGATGCAAAAAAAATGCATGTTTAACGTGGTTTTAGGTGTGCTTTGCTTTGAGGTGTGAGATATACACTACTCTGCAACCAATTTCTGCAGCTTTTTCCTCAAATAAAGATGTCAAAATTTAGGATTATAATTTTTTTAAAAAGTCTTTTATTGTAAGCCTATTTTTAGTTTGTATCAAATGTATCAAGATCAAAGTCTAAAGCCTTTTCTTCCAATTAGAAACTTAAAATTCCAGGTTATTATTTTTTTAATTAAGTTAATCTCAGGTTTAGTTACTTCCTTTTAAATTGCCTGAGTGTTAGAAATATATTTACAAATTGTCTCTTTTTAACTTACTTTAACTAATATATCTAAGTTTCTATTTAAAAATTTTCAAACATGTAGAAAAGCCTATAAAATGGTAAAATGTCCCTTACATACTCATCACTAGACTCAACAATGAGTAACAATTTGCCTTTATTTGCTTCCTCTATTTTTGGAGGGGTTAAGATGCCTCCACGTTTCACCACTAAACATTTCAGTAGGCATCTCTAATAAAATCAGCAAATTTAAT